TCTTTCTCGCATCTCTGTCGTAGGTGGGCAGGCGAGCTGTTAGTCTATCTTTTCTATTATCGAGCTGTCAGTAACGTAGAAATTGTCCTCAGGCCATTATACCTCCTTGAGCAGTGGTGCTGTTGAAAAACCTACCCTACATTTCAGGTGTGACTCATAGTAACGTTCTCATTTTTGTCAGACTTACGTTAGCACCGAACACGTGGACTCGGACGTCTCGGAAAGTTTTTTCGAAATTTCAATTCGTAATCCAATGCACTTGTGTCCCGTGCTCGAAACTGGTTTCGTAGAAAGTGCGTGGCCCTCCTTTTAGGAACCGTTAGTGAGGCCGTGTTTTTAGGAACCGTTAGTGAGGCCGTGTTTTTATACCCTTCACTGGGCGGCGAGGTTGGTCATCGTTCGTACTCGTCGCAGTTATGATGAAGAATTTTGTGTCGCAGTTATGATGAAGAATTTTGTGTCGCAGTTATGATGAAGAATTTTAACAGACACATATAAAAACAAACGCCTCTTTCTTGAAATTTAGTACGCTGCAGTTTTAAAAGAGAAAGGTTCACAAATAGAACCCCATTTAGTAAAGCAATATATTTTTTACAGTTTTAACTGTTTCAGCACTAGAAATTCCAGACGGCTCGGACAAATTTACGGCCAGACTCGTGGCCGGTTGCGCAGCCGGTCTCACGGCCACTTACCAAATTCAGTGACCAAGGAATATCTCCCAATAAAGAACGCAGCTTGATAAAACTTGGAACACGCATTCATTAGGACCTATAACGGTGATGTTTAGCTTGTGAAAAAATGTTAAACATCACCTTCATTCGTGAGTTATATGGCGATACGGGCCGAAATTCGCCGTGATCAAATAATTTCTTTCAAACTTCTGAACAGATTCGAACGGAATTTTGAATATAAATTCCTAACTACCAAACGGTGACTTTTAGCTCGTGAAAATTTATTTGATTCGGAGTCGTGTTCTACATGTGTTGTGTACAAATCGTCAAACAAACTTACGAACTTCTGACTTCGATTTCGCGGACTACCGCCCCCAACTGCCCCTTTCTTCCTCACCGCCCCCCCCCCAGGATCTTTCCACCGCCCCCAGGGGGGCGATATCGCCCACTTTGGGAACCACTGCTATACATTGACCCCGAATTCGTTAGCATTCCCGGAAGGTTACTAAGTGCATCACAGATGCGATCAGGGTGAGAGATGACCAGCGTGGGTTGATGCTGCGACATGAGCGCTTAGGGAAAAAATGTACAACATTCTTTTATAGTTTTTTCTAAGAAATGGTTCGTGATGCGTATTTCGGGTCTGAAGAACGCTTAAACTTATTTAATTTCCAATTAAGTCTTTCACACCATACTGCCGGACACGTACCAGCTAGGCACGGTACAGTCACGATCAAAGCAAAATATATTTTGATTGTCACGTGACTGCAGCAGTACCAACTATTTTTTTTTGCCGTGTACATCAGATTGCCAGCTCAACATACCAGATTTTAGCAATTACTACAGCAGATAAAAATCTCCATACCAGACACCATCTCACCATACCAGATTTCTTAAGTCTATGGACCAGCTAGCAATCAGTTGGATGTATACCAGTTAGCATGCAAAGCTGCGTGACTAGCATGGCACGTTATACGAAAAAACTGAAGTGAAGACAGCCCGTGATCGACCGGACTGAACTTGTGAATGCACCTGTCAGGGAACGGACCGTGACCGGACATGCCCGGCAGTATGGTCGTCACTATATATGGTGCGAACCAAGCTTAAAAATCAATTTGTGCTACAAGTGAATTTACATGAACATACTTTTCAGACTTAAAATTATTATATTTAATACTTTTACTGAGTAAAGGTACTTTTTTATAATGATACTTTTTAAAGATACTGATACTTTTTTGAGTAAAGTAATTTGATCAGTTATATATATTTTTCGAATTGGCACCACGTATTGACGTCGACCGCGTCGCAGATACGTCTCATTATAACTTTTCGCTGGAAGAGCATCGCGCCTGTAGCAATATATGATTGCAGAGACACTGAATTACTTCTCGTCTGCTCTAAATTCCCCCAGGACTTAAATGTAGACTTGAACCGAGCCTGTGATTTGAGGAGTGAGAATCCAGGCTGGCAAGTTTTTTCAGGAGCAGAGCTCCAGCTTTCTCATGCGGATATTTTGGTTTAAAAGTTTATAGCGATTCTCTCGCGATGCTCAATTAAGGACTGCTTTTTATTTATACATTTTATCTATATGTATATATATCATCGATCGTGGTCACGTGTGGGATGAAATGTATAAAGGTTTTTCAGTCTATGCCTGAAGCTATCTTTGGTTGCTGCTATAATACATTAATTTAGACTTTAGAGCATGTCATCACAGGTTGAATTCTCCCAATTAATCTTTTCCGGTGATTCCATTGATACTTGCTCCGACACTTCTGATCTTCCTCGCATCTCTGTCGTAGGTGGGCAGGCGAGCTGTTAGTCTATCTNAGTATTACGTTGTCATAGCAACGCCACTCGTAAGTCGATTTTGCGTACTTACGAAGTTTTGATAATACGGCCCCTGAGCATTAACATCTTTTGTGCGCCCCGAAATATGTTCGTAAGATGCCGGTATTTAGATTAGTGTCTTGCACTTCGCATTGCATTGTTGCTTTTCTATCGGCGTAAGTGTTTGGAAGCGCAGTAACACTTGATTGCTCGTGGCAATTTCGACCAGTGGTGCGACTAGTTAACTAGCCCCATAGGCTATTCATGTCTATGGGGCAATATGTTCGCATTAACCAGGAGCATCGCGAGAGATTCTCCTAGTCTCATCCCACATACCGAGACGATTCTGTTATTAGTCAGAATTTTGACGAGCAGAATTTTTTCAGAAAAACTATAATTCTTCTGTGTTTCACAAACAAGAAGTGAAGACATTTCTAGTAAAATTCTAGATCTATACTAAATTTTGAAAGAGATCTGATTTGGGTGTAACTCAAACTAACATCAGATACTCGCTATTTCTTATTTACTTAGAGATATGATTTGGGTGTAACTCAAACTAACATCAGATACTCGCTATTTCTTATTTACTTAGAGATATGATTTGGGTGTAACTCAAACTAACATCAGATACTCGCTATTTCTTATTTACTTAGAGATATGATTTGGGTGTAGCTCAAACTAACATCAGATACTCGCTATTTCTTATTTACTTAGAGATATGATTTGGGTGTAACTCAAACTAACATCAGATACTCGCTATTTCTTATTTACTTAGAGATATGATTTAGGTGTAGCTCAAACTAACATCAGATACTCGCTATTTCTTATTTACTTAGAGATATGATTTGGGTGTAACTCAAACTAACATCAGATACTCGCTATTTCTTATTTACTTAGAGATATGATTTGGGTGTAACTCAAACTAACATCAGATACTCGCTATTTCTTATTTACTTAGAGATATGATTTGGGTGTAGCTCAAACTAACATCAGATACTCGCTATTTCTTATTTACTTAGAGATATGATTTGGGTGTAGCTCAAACTAACATCAGATACTCGCTATTTCTTATTTACTTAGAGATATGATTTGGGTGTAGCTCAAANGTGAACGCATAAATCAACGTACAGAGACTGTCTCTTATACACATCTAGATGTGTATAAGAGACAGGGACAATTGAGACCTTCCGCCCCTTGTGGGTGATGAATAATTGAGACCTTCCACCTCTATGGTGATGTTCATCTTGACTTTCGGTGCAAGATAGCTAAATAGCTGAAGCGCTGGTAAATATTTGGCCTCCAAAATAACTTGTGACTCACTTCTTGCCATTACCGTCGTGGTCTTATGACTCACTTCTTGCCATTACCGTCGTGGTCTTATGACTCACTTCTTGCCATTACCGTCGTGGTCTTATGCCTTGCGTACCGTGGCATTCACGGTTCATCAACGGTCTCACGATATTGTACTGCGATTTTTGCTTCCTTGTCGAATTTTTTTACTTATAATTTTCTAAATATTCTCTACTTTCACACATCTGTTTATTTGTGCTGTCTGTGTTAATTGTAGCCTGAAAATTTATTGCCAATTTATAACATTATAACGTAGTATTTTTTGTAACATTTTATAACATTGTAATATTTACAAATTGTTTTTTATTTGAGCCCTGCCGCAGTGTCGTAAATCACTTTGCATTGCCCAGCGAAACAATGACAAATAAGTGAGCGTGAAGAGCTGGGAAAGCTCTGCTTGTAATTGACTTGCACTCAAATGAATGCGGTTACTGGAACGTCGTACAGCAGTTGCCTCTTTATCTTGGGTATTGGCCGCGGGCTGCCCGCTCTGCTGCTGCGTCCTAAATACGTGCGTGCATTGTATGCTAACTTCTACACAACAATTTATTTATCACTCGGGTCAAGTGAGTTCCAGTGACAAAGATCACTGCTCGCTTAAAAATTCTTTGTTTACATTATGTAAATTTGTGTCTCATTTATAAGGTTTATATTCTTGTTAGTTCCTTCTTTTTTGCCTCGCGCGATTAATAAATTTTGTTCGTCCTCCAGCATCACAATTGAAAGTTCTGAACTTGCGTTCAATATATGACCATATTGTATGCAGAGATGTTGGCGCTATTGTTGACATACCATAATTTGATCATGTTGTATGCACAGATGTTAGCACTATTGTTGGCATGCCCTTATTTGATCATGTATGTACAGATGTTGGCATAACATCAATTAATCATGTTGTATGCACAGATGTTAGCACTATTGTTGGCATGGCCTTATTTGATCATGTATGTACAGATGTTGGCATAACATCATTTAATCATGTTGTATGCACAGATGTTGACATAACATCATTTAATCATGTTGTATGCACAGATGTTGGCATAACATCAATTAATCATGTTGTATGCACAGATGTTGGCGTGCCATCATTTGATCATGTTGTATGTACAGATGTTGGCATAACATCATTTAATCATGTTGTATGCGCAGATGTTGGTGCTATTGCTCGCCTGGCATGTGGTGCTCGCGACAGGCGAGCGGCTCGTGATCATAGAGTCCGGCGAGGCTCGCAGGGGCCGAGGAGACCCCGACTTTCCTGGCTACGAGAACCACCTCGGCCACCTCGGCGACCGCGTCTCTGTGAGTGTGCCGTCTTAATAATAATAATAATATAATAATAATAATAATAATAGCGGTTTCAGCGTTTATTAGGTCATAGGCCTGTCGCCGATTCTTAACAGCGTAGAACATTCACAGCTTGTTGAGGTCTCGAACTCACAACTCACTGCTACAATTCTGCTGTGCTTAACCGCCAGGCCTCCTTGCCAATTCTGACCAGAAACTGGCGCACAGAGCTGGGATCGAACCCGCACCTCTCTGCTCCAATCTTGGTTTTCTAAACTTTAACCACTGGGCCACCCTGCCTTCATTGCATTGTTACCTCAAAACAATATCCTTGATGATGTTTAGATGAGAAAAAGCGCCATTATTTCCTCCTATCCATTCAATTTTAGAGGAAAATATCAAAATTTTACATCGTACCATTATTTGAGGTGAATGTGAAGAATTTTTTCCTTACGAAGGCACACTTACATTGCAGGGCATGTCACCGCAAGACACCTACCAGGGGCCCTCGTACGCCGACCCGTCGCTGCTCTCGGCCGTTATGCTGCAGGCTGAGAACGCAAACTTCGAGTGAGTCATGTGACCCGTGAACGCAGTGAAACTTTACTTAATGCGAATAGCATTCATTTTTGGCATTAACAGACACGCTGCTCTTACGTTTGTATCCGGCTTTTTAATTCCAATGATTCTTTGGAAAATTTATTCTTCAGTTCTTTCTCTATCAATTGTAAAATATTCGATCTACTAATTCAAATTTCGTGGGGAAAATATGAACATTATTTAAACCTAATTTCATGATAACGTTGATCAAAAATATGTATTAAGAAATTGTCAAAGGTATCAGAAATATCTCACTATTTCTTTAGTGCTAATGATTTCGTTGATTTCTGACTTCTGAAATGATAACTTGATTTTAACGAATATTTTTTATAACAAAAATACTCTGCATAATGAAATTTATTCATGTTTTGTTTTCAATTGTGAAAACAAGCGATTATTCCAGCTTGTCTACACATTCGTTGATCAGGATGACTTTTTAAGGTACAACTACAAGAAGCCGAGCACCACGACCGTGGTGACGAGTGAACGAGTCAACCCTCACGGTAGCGTCCCTAAACCTTGGGATGTCAGAGACACGAGCTCTGGGCACATAGACTGGGGGCTTGCAGCTAGGAAAGAACCTGAGAAACCAAAGCCTCTTATCATCGGTGGCTATGCCAGCACGATACTTCAAGGCAACAGCAAAGAAAGGCTTTACGCGACAGCAATCGGCACACAAGCTCCCAAGCCCGCGTTTGTTGCCACCCGCAAGCCTCTTACTGAGCCGCCATTACTGATGACAAAGCCGACGGTGACCTCTACCCCTGATGTCAACTCTACGACCGCTTCTTCATCGCCTGCTACCAGGCTTGTGCAGGAGGTGAAAATGACTCGAGCAACACCTTTCCAGAGACGTCGTCTCGACACCAAAAGACCTCAACTTTTGTATCGTGACAGTCCAAAACCATCAAAACCGACTCTTGCTGTCAAACTTGGACTTTCTTTGCCGTCACAGATTCAAACGTTCACTAGTAGCTCCACCACTACTGCAAGAACCGCTACAAAAACGCCAGAAACGACTCAAGCTGTCGTGGTGACCACTTCTTCTCCGAGAACAACGTTAGGAACAACCACCACTACAATCACTCCTCCAACTACTACCACTATTGCAAAAGTAGGCGATCGACCATCAGATGTATTCCCAAAAAGTGCTCGGTATCAGGTAGTAACAACAACAACAGTTCGACCAAATCGGTTCCGTCAGGTATTCGGCAGCAAAACCAGACATGAACTCCCGCCTAATATTTTACCGGTGCCGCCCAACCGTTTTCGAAAACGACCTGTGCGCACTCGGCGACCATCCGCTGGGATAATTCGTGTAGTAACTACAACAACAACCACGACTGCTCGTCCCATCCGCACAACTACCACTACCACTACAAAAAAATTAATACGTTCAACAACTCAAAAGCCGTTCCCGACTTCCACTCCCAAAGCTGAAACGAAGAAAGCTTTATCTGATATATTGTCGCACCACACAGACGGCGTGCCAGACCAAGCTAAACGCCCTGCAACCATACATAAGGCTCCGGCTCGAGTACCTGCTGCTAAAAGCACCACAACTACCACTTCTACCACCGAGGCACCGTCATTCCGCTACACCAAGGCTGCCTCTTTCACTCGAAGCAAACCTACGCACAAAATCAACTCTCACCACTTCGTCACAACTGAAAAAATAGTTGCACCAGCAGTATCGTATGAGAACAATGTCTTCAGCACTGTTAATAATATCCCATCACAAGGCTACGCTAAGGTAAGCACCAATTATCAAGCCTCGCAAACATTTCCTTTTATTCCCTCTAACACAGTTACTCATTTTGACCCTTCCCCGCCACCAAGCGATTCATTCCGACCCATCCCGATGAGTTACTCGCACCCGCTGCTCAGCAACAACCCAGTTCCTTCCCATGACAAGCCCACTTTACATTACCAGGACCCAACTCATTATCTGTCTGGCAGCCAAAAATACCACGAACACAACTTTAAGACCGCGACAGCTTCACCTCCCTCCCTGGAACACTCATTTAGGCCCATGCATTCTTACGAAAACGAGGAAATTAACGTTATCCGACCTGAAGATTTCCGGGATCCTCCGCCATTACTGACGTCGAGTGAAGAAAGAGATGAGCGGCGGCCGAGCTCCAGGCCTCACAAGTACAGAGATGACGATATTCCGCGACGAGAAGATTATCGGCGTAGAGAAGACGATCATCCACGTCGAGAAGACGACTATCTTCGGAGAGATGATGACTATTCACGGAAAGATGACGACTACCGTCGTAGAGAAGACGACTATCCGCGTAGACGTGACGATGACCGTAGGCGGCCTCCGCCCCCTCCACCACCTCCTCCTCATTTCTTTTTCTCGCGTCAGAAGCAACTCGCTGACGCGTTCCGGCGATACCACGGCAACAGAAGGAGCAGTAGCTCGTCAATCATGGATATGTTCTCCGGACCTTCTGGGCCGCGCCATTCTAGACGTCCTCCACCACCACCCCCTCCTCCTCCTCCTCCCCCTCCACCACCGCCACCTCCACCCCCTCCTCCTGCAGTGATGAAGCACTATCCGGTGTACCGTCCGTCACCACCACGCCCAGAGACAACCACCACCACCACCACAACCACAACTACGACAACACCTGCCCCAACTCCCCCGCACTACCATTACAGTCCCAGTGATTACAATAAGCATCAACTGCCACCAAACCCTTCCTACCGACTGGAATCCAGGGAAAAAAATTCATTTGCCGACTTCAAGTTCGTGAAAGGTAAAATTATCCACAACAAACCCCTGCAGATTTCAAATACTGCTACAGTCTACAAGCTCGCTCCGTTGTCTTCTGTGCACAAAGATGCGTTACTCCAAAACGCTGTCGAGAAATCGCACGGCGGACCAAAGGTTCTAAGACCAGGCCAATTCAAAATAGTTTCAAAGGATGCTCTGAAGTACGACCAGGACAAAATCAAAATGTATCGTCCACCCAAGCCGCAATATCACGAGCCCGACTCTTCATTTTCTCTCACTAACTTTTTCTCTAATTTCCACGACTTCATGGGAGGAAACCTGAACATTCGACGCAGAGGAAAAATGCCAGAAGACGCTAGTGATACGATCCTATCGGTGCAAGGTGCCAATAGCATTAAGGTGGACCCGAAACCGTCCGTACATCAAGTACAACTGCCACACAGCTCTGAAAAGTTTAATGTTGTGGGTCCATTCCACGAACCTCCTTCCGGTCTGTCTCCCCTAACACCTGATGATGTTCAGTATCCTGCGAGCGCATTCCACCAAAGGACGTTCGTGCCCAGCTACATGAATCCTTCTGTTCCTTACTCTGGTGCAAGTGCACCCCAAACCGTTACGGATTTGTACGATAGTAATCATGAGACTGATGTTTCAGCCGCTGATTCTCTGTTGTCAAGTGGATACGAGCTCTTAGCCTATCCAGGCTCCTATGGCGGTGACATGAGCGAGCAAGCCGCATTCAATGAAGTCACGTCCAGTTACGCCATGAATTATTTGCATGGAGCTGACGGCAGTGACAGTTCTGCGACAGTCGATGACGAGTCAGTCAGTGACGCTGTGTCCAACAATGATCCTCTTGTAACTTTTGATACAATATTTTCGTCCGCGTCCATAGCAATGTCAAAGAAAGACCCGTATGAGAATCATGTACTGGAAAATAACGAAGCTTCTCAGAACGTAACTGAAGCCTCTCCCGTGACACCCACAACGACGCCTCTTCCAAGTGTGACGCCTATGAAGGTTACAGAGTTCAACCCATACGCTGGCCACCGACCTCAACCCATGTTAGGCCACGCAGCCGAGCACACTCACGAGAAGAAAGCGGTCAGCCCACAAGCATCTTATGGCGGTTGGAGTGCCATGGTCATCCCTGTACCGGTACCTCTGCGAGAAAACCTCAGAACTGCGGATGGAAACATTTTGACGCATTCAGAGCTGAGTAACAGTCCGCGATCTTTTGTGAATAATCAGTAAATTATCACTATAGAATCCTTCATCCCTTGCACGCAACGATAAAACGGAAATTGGAGTGGGCCGATGAGCTGATCCGTAGAGATGCCCAGCTTGAAACCTGATGTGCGAAGATAAGATGTGGGATTTTCGTCAAGATTAAACATCGAAACACCCGCGGACGTTTCAAGTTATCATTTGTGATCATCTTGGTTTAATGATTTGACTTTCACTCGGGAAGCGCTAGGTACTTCTTACTTCTTTGTTTGAATCCCAAAACTCTACCTAAATTCATATTTTTAATTGCAATGGAGCGATATTTTTTCAACTGTATAAGTGCGCGGACCAAAATTTTGAAAAACTTTGGAATTTTATCTACGAAGAATGCTCTTTACGTCACATTTGTTTTGTGGTCCCTGACTGACATACCAGAGTGCCGAGACGAATTTGAACGTTTCGAGAAATAGATCAGAGAATGCAGAATTGGGAATAGTTCTTAGAATTTCATGAGGTCTGAGGTCTTTGTTAGTAGCGAGGTCTGTTGCAGTATTTGTCATAGTCCATTGAATGTCATGGGGTCTGAGGTCTTTGTTAGTAGCGAGGTCTGTTGCAGTATTTGTCATAGTCCATTGAATGTCATGGGGTCTGAGGTCTTTGTTAGTAGCGAGGTCTGTTGCAGTATTTTTCATAGTCCATTGAATGTCATGGGGTCTGAGGTCTTGGCGTTGGTGAATGTATTGTAATCACCTAAACCCTGTTTATAATTCGCAACAATTGCAGCTTTTTCATGCATTTAAATTTCCAAGATTATTATCGACAGAATCACTGTAGTAGATGTATAATGTAACGGACATCCTAAGTCTAGTGTATAATAATTGTAGGAATATATTTTGATGGCATCTAGGTTAATAACATACGTAGCTTAGGGATTAATGTCACCTTATACCCGCCTGTCTTACCAGCGCTGCTTCATGAATGTTGGTCGAAGACGCGAGCTTCTCGCGTCACAGTCGCGATGAGGTGAAGAGAGTTAGCAGACCAAACTATAGCACACCAGCGCCTGGTCTCAGATAGGTCTAATTGAATGCATTAATGTCAAATAGATTACGAACCTGTGAACCGTTCACACAAGTCTCTTAATCCCTCCTTTGACTTTCATGGACCATTTCATACATTCTTACACGTATCATAATACTCTCATTCGACTTACGCGTATTCATTACAGTAGATTGTTTTTCTGAGGAAGAGGCACCAGCCGTGCACAAAAACCTCGTCTGTAGCTCGCGTCGCTCCAATCATTTACTTCAACGATCGAATGGTGTCCTTAATCTCATCGACGCGCAGCAATTATTTATAACGTAGCGGAAAGGCATTCCTTTAGTGAATAAGTAATTATATATTGAGTAAGCGACCTTTCTTTTTATTACCCATTCAATTTTGTAATTTAGTTGATTCGAAATTGACATATAATTGCGTTTCGATTGGTGGCGTCAGATTAAAGTTAGTTCATTCTTCACTAAACTTATTTCTTGGAATCAACGGTAGGTGCCTTATTTACGTATATTCATTCAAGTGCATTACAATGTACTTTATTTCTTCATTCAAGGATAGTTTACTTGCGAAGCCTGAACGATTGTGAGTCCAGTCTGCACTAGCCGTTATAACAAGGTTCCAATTAGTGATTGGTAGTTATCACGGCTACACAAAATCCCTAATAAATTTGGCTTCACTAAATTACAGTTATTTTATAGATGTAATCACAGACGAGAATTTGCAACAAGCTACGAATCAACACTCCAGTCTCTTAACAGGAAAAATATGCTTAAGAAATGTGAATACATTTGCCTCATGTGAAAACAATTCATTTTATAACGTAAGCTGGCACAGAAATACAGTTCGTGTTACACAATCCAAGCAATTGAAAATGAATCTTAAGAATGTCCACATGCAAACCTCAGGTCCCTCGTGCGAAGTGACCAACTGAAGGTTCGAAGCAAGGATTATGAACAGCGAGCGACACCCAAGCTCATAAATTGTACCGAGTTGTATGAAATTTTGCCCATGTTCGAATACTTTACGTACACAACTAAGAAAGATTAGGTCTGAAAAAACACGTGAATTTATTTTAGAGTAAAGTGCGGCAGTCAAGCGCTTTAATAAGTGAACGCTAAAAATTCAATTGAGGCGTAAGCAGCTCTAGCACATGCACGCAGTAGCAGTTCACATCGGGTCACAAATGCTCAGTTAGCGTGACGATATTCATCCCAGCACCGAGTGATTTTTCTGTGTTTAGCTAAGAGAAATGTTGACTAGCATGATGGGGGAATAAGAGGAGGGCCATTGCAATTTTTTCTCGTAAGCCAGTCAAGAGATCAAGCTTTATACAAAAATCGACTTCTAAAATGCCCAGGAATGCATAAAATATCATTAGCAGTGCCTGTAGCTCAGTGTTCAGCAACAAAATCTGACAAATTTGCAAAACTTGAAGCAGGAATAGAAAATCGAGATGGAATGTAATGAATCTAAATGTTGATTTCGCTAAACTATGTGGCTGATTCCTGAACTGGTCTGCTCCACTGTTGCTCAAACAATAATTTTAAATTAAAACGGACGTTTAATAACAATAAATAAAGAATAAAACAAAAACCTAATGCTATATAATACAAATAATCATTAAATACTTTCAATTTCGTGTCTAAAGTACTAATACTACAAATGTGTGGAAAACACAATTTCTGCAAGAAGCATTAAATAGTTAAATAGAAGTTTTGCTGGAAATTCACACGAGAAATGCATGTTTCACACAACGTTAAGTAATATCATCACAAAACGTTCTTAACAAGCCACACGAAGAGTAAGTAACGGCCCATGGCAAGGCATAAGTCTTTTCTTCTCTACACGGAATGTCGTAAGGAACGTCAGCGCAGGGGCCAGGAAACCCACGTATCCAGAGTTCTGCAGCTGAACCACAGGCAACACCAACATAGCGCCACATAAATATAGTTTCTGGGTCACTCAAAGCACAAATACATTAAAAAACCGTTGTCCAAACTTTAAAACACCGCCGCACACACGAACAAACGATGAGTTTCCAACACACTAGTAGAATATATAGAAGGCACTGTTCAGCACTGAAATTGGCACAACACCAACATGTTAGTTTAATAAAAACATAGTTTCCACGCATAAAAGTGTCATTAGTTATCACATATAACAATGTCCAGACATTACCTCAGAAGTTCTCCCACAATATCACTCCTAACGAGAACGCAACAACAAAAATAAGGCACCAGCATGGAACGTTAACAGAGACACTTCTCTCTGAAATGATAAAGTTTGACTCGTGAAGTAAAGCGACGATCACTTGTAATGACGATCGAAATGATCAAGTTTGACTCATGAAGTGAGCGCGACGATCACTTGTAATGACGATCGACTTGCGTGGAAGGCACCGAGAAGAGGATCCTCTTGGTCTGGTCGTGCTGCTTGGCTCTGCTGTACATAAGCACGCCAGCGATCACCATGACGGTGCCCAGACCGCTGCTCAAAGTGATGGCGTTGCCGAACACCAAAACTGACAGCCATATGAGCACGGCTCGTTTCGTCGTATTTGCTACACTGAAATACAAGAGAGAAGTTTTCATAAGGCAGCCAGGTAATGTGTTACTGAACCTTATTTATCCCGGTGCTGGCAGCTCGACACAAGCGTGGAAATGAGAGAAGTACTGCCTCTCACACAAAAAATAATTGTTTTCATTCTGCAGCGAGCATAGAAACATAGCCAAGAGAAAGTGAATACTGTATACTTCTTCGTTCAAGTGGATTGAACACAAACACACATGAACACAAACTCTAAGTGAAGAGCTTGTGTAACGCAGAATCAGGAGGTGATCCCACTAACAGTGATGTGATGGTGAGGCACAAGACGAGGAAGTTGATAAAGTTATAATGTATAATGTATTCGGGCAGAATTTATTGATACGCCAGTCGTAAAGTTTCTTTCAGCAAAATGAAACGTCTCATCCAAACTATATACGGCTGTTGCACTAACTTAATTAATTAATGATGCAGGACAAAGAAAAACATCGGTCAAGAAGTATTGCCAGAGACAAGGCTAAAATTTTAATGTTATATGAATCCAGGACCATTGCTTCTCCAGGTTAATTGTCTCGATATAACCTTTTCGTGGTAAATAGAGTGCAAAACACGCACTTTAAAGTCAACCCATGTCCTGAGGTCACTTCGGGTCGATTAATGACCGTTATACAAGATATTTAAAAGAGTTACAAATGTACGACCGTTGCCCAGCCAAATGCTGACCAATAAGTGGCCACATATAAACTGGTAAATATTTAGAGCTTGTAAATATGATGTGTACCTGTAGGTGACGGGGCTAACGTAGCTCATGAGGACATAAGCAGTGATGGTCTGGCCATGGAAGCTGATGCCATCAAGCAACATGACCACCAGCAGGTGAGGGTCGGTCAGCTGCTGGAGGGATGACCGCGACACAAGGAAGAGCCACCCCACCGCCTGCACTGCCACCCCTACAGCGTTAGGGTAGAACTGCAGCTCTGCAGGACTGTCAACCACAAACTCAAGTCAGGGCTTATAGAAACTTCAATAAACAAAATAAACAAAAAAGTTAAGTATTAAATGAAAAATTCGCATAATTAAAAGGGAATAAAGTCAATGTTTAAACAGCTGGATTGATATCAACATTCACCTGTTGCTACGCGAAAACATGGACAGTGCAATGAACTACTGCTTGCAAGTTCTCCCACAATATCACTCCTAACGAGAACGCAACAACAAAAAATAAGGCACCAGCATGGAACGTTAACAGAGACACTTCTCTCTGAAATGATAAAGTTTGACTCGTGAAGTAAAGCGACGATCACTTGTAATGACGATCGAAATGATCAAGTTTGACTCATGAAGTGAGCGCGACGATCACTTGTAATGACGATCGACTTGCGTGGAAGGCACCGAGAAGAGGATCCTCTTGGTCTGGTCGTGCTGCTTGGCTCTGCTGTACATAAGCACGCCAGCGATCACCATGACGGTGCCTAGACCACTGCTCAAAGTGATGGCGTTGCCGAACACCAAAACTGACAGCCATATGAGCACGGCTCGTTTCGTCGTATTTGCTACACTGAAATACAAGAGACAAGTTTTCATAAGACAGCCAGGTAATGTGTTACTGAACCTTATTTATCCCGGTGCTGGCAGCTCGACACAAGCGTGGAAATGAGAGAAGTACTGCCTCTCACACAAAAAATAATTGTTTTCATTCTGCAGCGAGCATAGAAACATAGCCAAGAGAAAGTGAATACTGTATACTTCTTCGTTCAAGTGGATTGAACACAAACACACATGAACACAAACTCTAAGTGAAGAGCTCGTCTAACGCAGAATCAGGAGGTGATCCCACTAACAGTGATGTGATGGTGAGGCACAAGACGAGGAAGTTGATAAAGTTATAATGTATTCGGGCAGAATTTATTGATACGCCAGTCGTAAAGTTTCTTTCAGCAAAATGAAACGTCTCATCCAAACTATATACGGCTGTTGCACTAACTTAATTAATTAATGATGCAGGACAAAGAAAAACATCGGTCAAGAAGTATTGCCAGAGACAAGGCTAAAATTTTAATGTTATATGAATCCAGGACCATTGCTTCTCCAGGTTAATTGTCTCGATATAACCTTTTCGTGGTAAATAGAGTGCAAAACACGCACTTTAAAGTCAACCCATGTCCTGAGGTCACTTCGGGTCGATTAATGACCGTTATACAAGATATTTAAAAGAGTTACAAATGTACGACCGTTGCCCAGCCAAATGCTGACCAATAAGTGGCCACATATAAACTGGTAAATATTTAGAGCTTGTAAATATGATGTGTACCTGTAGGTGACGGGGCTAACGTAGCTCATGAGGACATAAGCAGTGATGGTCTGGCCATGGAAGCTGATGCCATCAAGCAACATGACCACCAGCAGGTGAGGGTCGGTCAGCTGCTGCAGGGATGACCGCGACACAAGGAAGAGCCACCCCACCGCCTGCACTGCCACCCCTACAGCGTTAGGGTAGAACTGCAGCTCTGCAGGACTGTCAACCACAAACTCAAGTCAGGGCTTATAGAAACTTCAATAAACAAAATAAACAAAAAAGTTAAGTATTAAATGAAAAATTCGCATAATTAAAAGGGAATAAAGTCAATGTTTAAACAGCTGGATTGATATCAGCATTCACCTGTTGCTACGCAAAAAAATGGACAGTGCAATGAACTACTGCTTGCACTTTAGTGAAGCAAATTTGTACTCAAGTTTGCAGCAGAAATAATGAACCACTCCTCACACTAGATCAAGGCATACTTGTACTCGTAAGAGGCATCAGGAATAATGAACTACTCATAACGCTATATCAAGGCATACTTGTACTCGTAAGAGGCATCAGGAAGAATGAACCACTCCGCATGCTATATCAAGGCATACTTGTAGTGATAAGAGGCATCAGGAAGAATGAACTACTAGTAACGCTGTATCAAGGCATACTTGTAGTCATAAGAGGCATCAGAGAGAACCGTCTTGGACAGGACGCTCTGCAGGACCTCGCACACGTTGGTGGTGAGTGCACACAAAAAACCGAGGAAGTTGAAGGAAATTTCGCCACTACTGCACACTGCCAGGCCACCCATCACAGGCAGTAGTGTCAGCAGCACGAGGCAGCTTGTGCGTTCCCCTACACATAGAGATGCAAGATGACAGTAATTAATTAACCTTGTTAACAACTGTTAAGAACTGATTAATAACCTTCTTCACAACTGTACCCTTGGTATCATCTATTTGATGCATAAAATGCAATTGTAGAATTTTTCCAGATTGGCTCAACATTGTGAGCAGCAACTTTGAAATCAGGTTACAAACTCAAAATTTTTCCACACACTCATATATATACATATAGTATTGATACGTTGACTTAGAAAGGGACTTACTAGTTCATACAAGGAAATGTTCAAATGTGGAAGCGATATTGGTATCTCTTGTGTATTAACAAAATTAAATATTTTGTTTGTATGTGGAAGCAAAAAAAAATCTCGCCAATGGTTGGTATCTGAGAGAGTTCTCAAGTAAAGCCATTTGTAAGTCAGGCTATCACTGAATTTTTATGTTGAAGTGTTGATATTTTATTCTGCATAGACTGACTGATATCATACTGAATAAAAAATGAATAAAATGCCTTGATTTCAAAGATCAGCCAAATAAGATTTTATTAGCTCAGGACCAGCAACAAAGGTGATCTGCAATCACTGCAGAAAAATTGCAAATTCGAAGTGAATACAAAAATGACATATTAGAGAACTGCCTCATGGTCTAAAAACATAAAATGGTCAAGCATTACTTCCAATAAATCGTACTCAAAATTAAAAAATTGCATCAGCATTTAAATATGACAATAAGCTAAAAATATTTAACTAATGCTCACGTTTTGATCTAAATATGAAGATAAATTTCTATTCAGAAAGAAATGCAGCTCAAAATATATACCTATAGGTAGATAGATCTTCAAATCGCAGTTGTAGATATAACCCAATAAAACTAAGTGATGGCAAGTACAATACCCTCCCGGGTCTTTGTAAGATAATTTACCTCTTAGGAGCCACGTCAAAAACACCGTCACAAGCGGCGCAGAACTTTTCACTGTTTCTGCAAAGCTCACTGCCACATAATAGAGGGCCACCAAGCCAAATAAAATAGTGCCCAGCCTGAAAAATGGGAAGATCATAAGTGCTTTCAATCATATTCTCTAGGGAAATATTTAGTAACTAGTGAACATTTTACAGTCAACAATAAACATCAGACTATTAATTTAAACAATGGAATATTATATTTGTTTTCAAGAACAAAAAAGGTAAACAAAATTTATGACATATTCCTACAGTTATCAGACAGAACATGATATGACCAAAAATGCAAGCATTCATTTGAAGCCAAATTTACAAGACAGAATATTAATCCTCTACCACCTGACATGAGTAACCAGAGCAATATTGTCACAAGCCTACTTCCCAAAAAGGATACGTTCTAGTGAGCGCAAAATGACTTGCACTGATGGTTGCCGTCACGTACGACAACTTTAAAATGTATGTAAAATTCACTTAAGAATATGGTAAGCTGTTAAAACAATAATTACTTACTGTAGGAGGCCAAGTATAATCATATTAAAATAAAAATTGGAAGGTTTCTTTTTCTTAGGACCATGTTTGTAGCAGCCCATTGGATACCACATCTGCACAGCTCCACACATCATTGTAATGAGCATTTGTAAGCCACCTGCAGCAAGGCAGAAGGAAGTAAGATAGACAAATTTCATATTACTAATGCTGATTTTAAAGGAGACTTAGATATCAACTGCAACAATATAATTTTATCTTTAGCCATGCTAGGAAAAATATATATGCATTTATATCCAAAAAAAGTATAGCTATAAAATTAATTGAAGCTCTACTTGAACTCACACATGAGGTATGGATTGAAGCTGAGATATGTCAAGATGTACTTGTTGAGAAAAAGTGTGCCAGCACTGAAGAAATACCAAAGCAGCAGAAATGCAACAGCTCTAGGGTGCTGCAGGCCTTCTATTGCTATCGTCATCATGACGTCAGAATTATCAAGCTTCAGATTATGTTTGACTTCTTTATTGTTGGCCATCAGCTCAAGCTCATCAAAAGATGCATAACTATGGGATAGGAAATCAACACCATTTCCCTTGTTTGTGAGTTTTCTTGATTTAAATCCATTCTTATGAGAGCTAGCATTGGGAGAGTGATGACCCAAATGAGTTGACGGCAAGAATGGATTAACAGGAGAGGTCAACTTTGAATCATTATTTTTATGCTCTGAACCTTCTAATACGAATGAACTCAAATCCATCTGAAAGCTGAGAAACATTTATTTGAAAACAGTTGCACAAGTCATTATGAGGTTACAAATTATTTCATAAATAAGTTATGCAAAAAAATTGCAGGGCTCTAGTGTCTATGAAAATATCAAGTTCAAATATTATTTAATAGTAGAGGTTCATCGAATGTGTATATTCAAGGTTAAGTAGAGCTACACATGAATAATTCTAGAGAGTTGAAAATATTCTAATAAAATAAATCAATTGTGACAAGATCACAAGAATGATCAATAATGAGGGACTTGCAAACACAAACGTGTTTCATGAATTGAGCCAATTCAGCTCACAAAGGAATCAACTTAGCAGGGAGAGAATAATAAAGTTCTAACTGTAGATAATTCAAAATAAAATTCTACATATTGACCTATGAACCTTGAGATAAGACTACAGGTAATTTTTTTTTTCTCCATAATGTACTTGACAAATCCTTGGAGTGGACTTGACAATTCAAGTCCACTTGAATATTGGGTGTACCCAATAACTAGACAAGTCTTTATAAAAGCTAATTGGTGTGCTTTATCAAATCAAAGAAAGGAAAAAAATCAATGCATCCCATAGAAAGGGAAGACCGATGGTAGTGTCACCATGCTAAAATCAATTACCTCTAATCATAATGAAATGAAAGGTGTAGTAAGGTTTATTGGTTTGCTTGCACAACAGCAATAAAGCTATTGATAATGAGGGAACAAAAAAGAACATGGGCAATGGGCTTGTTCACAATAATTATGTTAATAGAAGGTAAGATAGGTGAACAGCATAAGGAACAAAGACACTTGATAAAGTATTACTAGTTATGCAAAAAGTTGCTTCCTTGAGACCATCAACATCACCACCTTGCTTCCATGAGACGGCCCACATACTCACCGGTGTTGGGTTTTCTAACGTACCAAACATGGGGATTTTTTAAAAATCCAGGGAGTAAAACATTGGTTTTGAAGAAATTTCCTGTACGGTATATTAACACATTTAATGCCATGGTCGGTATTTTTGATATATGGGAGTAAGAGGTTGTGTGTGTGTTTCTTGAGGTGTTCTACACATTACTGCAACTAAAATAAAATTCAAGGTCTACATGTGGGTCAGTTTGCAGCTCAGAGTGAGATTTACTGTGCCACTGCAATACGACCCACATGGATTATGTGGCAATTTGCTGATAAATTTGTTTTGCAATAATTATTTTCATTTTACAATGTATTTTTTTTTGTATTTTCAGACCAAAATGAGTTGAGTTTTCATGATGGAAAAGTCTAGTTTTTATGGTGGATTCAAGGGAATGAAACGTGATGACAGTGATACTATTTTTTTCCAAAAGTGATAATACTATTTCATCAGATAACATTCTCACCAGAAAGTAATGATGGTTCAGGTTGTGAGGAAATGGAGTTAGATGGTGAAATTAGTGATGAAAACAACAATGAAAATAAAATTCAAGGAATAGAAGGTTCAGCAGAGAAGGTGTGTGTCATTGTGCCACATCAAATAAAAGAAAGACAGTGTTTTCTGGGACGGAAAAACAGTGAATTGTACCTAACTCTTCTCATGGAGGGAAAACCTGGCCTATTGACGTGTACACTTTTATTGACTGATTCAATCATAGAATTGATTGTTTGAGAAATAAATTATGCAGCACAAAGAGAACAACCACATCTAACACAGAACTTGTGACTAAATTCCATAGAAATAGAAACATTTGTAGAAATCATCCTGTACATGGGATCTAATCCTCANACCCACGAAAAAGAGCTATTATTCAAAGCGTGTTGGAGTACCCCCTCCAATTTTTTTATTTTTTGGTAAAATAACTCCAAGTTTTGATGCATTGTAGTAGAACTCTTCTAGTTACATATGCAAATGACAAATTTTAGGAAAGTGTCATATTTTGCAAATGGGGGGCACCACCCCCTAATGGGGGAACTCTGATCACCTAATGGCAGCCATGATGGGGTAACATTGACCGGCTTGGAAATTAAGTTAAAATTAAAATTAGGTACCTATATAACATATTTTATGTTTGATACACCTATTAATGTTTTTTCTGTATGTTTCAGACTCAACAGAGTCTTATATATGGTAATTTCAACTTAATTTCCAAACCAGTCAATGTTACCCCATCACAGCTGCCATTAGGTGGTCACATTTGGCCCATTGGGGAGCAGCACCCCCAATTTACAAACTATAACAATTTCCTAAAATTTGTCATTTGCATATGTAACTAGAAGAGTTCTACTTTAATGCACCAAAACCTGAAGTTATTTTACCAAAAATAAAATTGATTTTACCACCCAGTCAAAGAAACCCCAAGAGCTGGGGTAACAAAGACCATCACTTTTTTGAAACTACATCAAAACTATGACAGGCAGGAGCCAGCAATTTATGGTGATTGAAGCTAGAGTATAGGCCTGTATTTTGCACGTTTCAATTTAAGTTTAACTTATCTAGTAAAAAAATGGCATCGTTTTGAAAAAAAGTGGTCAAAGTTATCCCATTTTATGGTATTGTGCATAATTGTGGCAGACATTAATCTTGCAAAAATTTGGGTTCAGCAGAGTCTGTAGCTGCCAGAATAATCAGCCCTAAATTAAAATTTTTTAATTAAGCTCATTCCTAGCTGTGTCGTATTCTGATACAGCTCACACAGGGAGTCGGAATTCCAACACAGGGCGCCGGAATTACAAATTAATAAAGTTTGAAGCGCTGCCGGAATTAGTCTCACAATATGCCGAATTTAGTCACACACAGCGTCGGAATTCAGGGATTTTGTAGGTTTGTATTCTAAAGGCTTTTAAATAAATATGGCAACAGTTTGTGACGTTTCATTGTTGCTGGTGCGTAGTGTGGTGTTTTGAGAGTGACGTAAAGCAATCAGAACTCGAGTTGTGCATACGGTAATATTTTTATAGCCATTCATTTCTTGCTGCGTCCTTAATGTGTTGGAATATACTGCATTTACCCTACCTATCTGTTATGTGACTCTTAAATGTTTAGAAGATCCACATTCCTCAGTCCTTAAGTGTTTTTTGTATATAGAACTCAGTTCAATATACAATTGAAGCCAGTTAAATACAATTGAATTGAAGCTAGTTAAATGGTCAATATTTAGCTCATTACCTTGCTCCATACAAACTTTACGAAGCTACTGAATAGACTTATCAATAATTGTTTACCGTCAACTGGGGTGACTTCGGACGCCGGGGTGACTTCGGCCAACGTTAATGATTTTGTTTTGTGGCCATCTGTTTCTGTTCTAGTTGTGTTATGTAATTGGAACAAATTGGTATCCAATGTACCGTAAACTGTGGTAACTTTGACCACTTTTTTATTTCAAAATGATGCAATTTTTTTACTAGATAAGTTAAACTTAAATTGAAACATGCAAAATACAGGTCTATACTCTAGCTTTACTCACCATAAATTGCTGGCTCCTGCCTCTCATAGTTTTGATGTAATTAAAAAAAAGTGATGGTCTTTGTTACCCCAGCTCTTGGGG